GAAAGAAAGGAATGAATCACTTAAACCAAGCTTTAAATGGTTTGAATTACATGACTGGTTAAACAGGGGAGTTCTGGTTTTTTACCTCCTCTCTCTCCTCTCTCCATGAAACAGGAGAGGTCAGCTGCTTTGGGACTGCAGGGCAGGAGGTTGTTTTAAAAATTCATCAGAGTGACCCTTCAGCTGTGAAGTTAAGCAGAGATGCTGTTAAAATTTGGTAATTGGCTCTAGATTATATTTTTAATGTGTGATTCAGAAAGGGACATGAAAACCATATAACTGTATGTGTGATATACTGGAGTATGTAGACAACACACATAGGAAGAGCATCTTCTCTCTCATGCTGTACTGTCCCTTTTTTAGTACCATTATTTTTAGCATTAAAAGTGAAGATCTTAACAATTATAGTTTAGTTTTCTTTGCTAGAATAGTTATAAAAACTCACTCTTTAAGTTAAGACTTCTGGTTTAAAAATTTATGGTTTTTAATAAGGTGCAACACTTCAGTTTCATATGTTTTCAGATCTGTCTGCAGAGTTGTAAAAAGAGCGTCTGAGCTAAGTAGTAAAAGGCTAGGTTCATAAAGTTCTTTGTTCATATTTAATGCTTTCAGGAATTTTAATAACTATTACTTTTGGGGATTTTTTAATATTATAATTTCTTGCCATAGTTTAAGTGATGTTTAATACTTTCCATTTGCATCACTTACTTATAAAACTTAAAATATTATTAACATAAAGAGCTTGAATTTTACATTTACAATTCATTGGTACTGCAAAAAGAAATGTGTTAATATGAAAGTAGTTTGGGGAAAAGCATGTGAGGTGAAGGGATAGTTCAGGCAGCTGTTCTGTTGCAGAGGCCCCTTTTGCTGGCTTGCCAAACAGAATCAGTAGCAGATTTTGGTGCCAGTGAGTGTGGCATTAGTTGAGCAGGGGACAGAAAAAACAAGTGTGATGTGAGACTGATCCCCAAAGGAAAACAAAAATACTTTGAAGCTAGAGTTGCCAGATTTCCCTGTTGTAACACTAGTCATCCTTCCCCTGGGATTACAGCAGTAGTTCTCAGAGCTAGTGGTCCGCGGCCGCCTTCCAGGTGGTCCGTGGCCACCTCCCAGGTGGTCCGCGGTGGGAGCTCATGTCTCCCTCATGCAGCGGGAAGCTCGCACTGCCGCTGAAGCCTCACGGTTGGAGCGCAGTCACAAGGCTGGATTACTAGCTCCAGCCAGCAGGTGGGGAGGTGAGGAAAGCAAACTCATCCCCCCTACACAAGCCATAAAGCTACACGTGGAAGAGCACCACCACAATGGTAGGATTGGTGTGTCCCTTGATTGGTCCCATGGGGCAGGCAGCAGGTTGAGCTGTGCGGTTCCTGGCCGGGTGTGGTGGGCTCTCGGGGTGCATGAGTGGCTGGCGCCCTCCCTTCCCTGTCAGCAGGTTAGGCTGTGCCACGCCTGGCAGCGGTGAGAGGAGACGACACTGGAACTAAACAATGAGAAGTTCCATGGCACCATATAGACTAATAGATTTATTGGAGCATAAGTTTTCGTGGGCAAAGACCCACTTCATTAGATGCATGTAGTGGAAATTCCAGAGGCAGGTATAAATATACAGGCATAAGAAAAGAGTTCTAACCAAGAGTAAGGCTAGAGATAACGTCAGTTCAGGCAGGGAGGATGAAGCCCACTTCTAGCAGCTGGTGTGGAGGTGTGAACACCAAGGGAGGAGAAACTGCTTTTGTAGTTGGTTAGCCATTCACAGTCTTTGTTTAATCCTAGACTGATAGTGTCAAATTTGCAAATGAATTGTAGCTCTGCAATTTCTCTCTGAAGTCTGTTTTTTAAGTTTTTTTTTGTTGCAGGATGGCTACCTTTAAATCTGCTACTGTGTGTCCGGGGAGATTGAGGTGTTCTACAGGTTTTTGGATATTACCATTCCTGATATCTGATTTGTGTCCGTTTATTCTTTTACGTAGGGACTATCCAGTTTGGCCAATGTATATGGCAAAGGGGCATTGCTGGCACAGGATGGCATATATTATATTGGTAGGTTGGCAGGTGAATGAGCCCATGATGGTGTGGTTGATGTGGTTAGGTCATGTGATGGTGTTGCTGGTGTAGATATGTGGGCAGAGTTGGCTCCGAGGTTTGTTGCAGGGATTGGTTCCTGAGTTAGTTACTTTGGTGTAATGTATAGTTGCTGGTGTGAATTTGCTTCAGGTTGGCAGGTTGTCTGTGGGCGAGGACTGGCCTACCTCCCTAGGTCTGTGAGAGTGAGGGATCATTGTCCAGGATGGATTGTAGATCACTGATTATGCATTGGAAAGGTTTTAGCTGCGGACCATAGGTGATGGCCAGGCACTCCCTCCCTCCATCTCCCTGCCCCTGGCCAGACACTCTACCCTGAGTCTGCTCTTGTACCCTACCTCTCACCCAGACCTTGAACCCTCACCCCCTTCTGCACCCCACCTTGCTCACAGTTCCTGTACCTAATTTCTATCCCACTCACGTAGCCCTGTCCTGCACACTGAACCCCTCATTTTTGTCCCCACCCCAGAGCCTAAAGGGGTCCATAAAATCCACTAGCTCCAGAACCCCAGAAAAGTAAATCTAGCCTATGGGAAGCTCTGAACCTTAGTCCTCCCTGTCCCTCCCCTTTCCCATGTCCCTTGGGGTGGAGCGCCAGAGGAGTGAGGTATCTCAGTTGGGGGCCACATCACTGAGGATTGGGGGTTTTTGAAGGAGGTTTTTTTTGCTTCTCACTTGTATGGTCCCCAACTGATTTTTCTGTGGGCCAGTGACCCCTGACACAAAAAAGGTTCCCCTCACGTGCCATAAATAAAGAAAACATTGAAACCTTTTGTATTGTACAAAAATTAATATTTTATTGTATTTAAAATGAAGTTTGATAAACTAGCATGAGAAAATTAAAGTGCTTAATCTGTTTAATAATTTAAATTAAACCAGTCTCCCTAGCTGCAGCATTAGCAAAATGGCTCAGGCATAATTATATAATTAACAGTGAGTTTGCATTAGTGACTGGTGGTCCACAGAAAGGTTTACATTGAGCCAGGTGGTTCATGAGCCAAAAAGTTTGAGAACCATTGGATTATAGTATCACTGTCAGAATGTGGGTCCTTAGATCATTGTATTTCTGATGGGATACCCCTTTGCCTGCCTGAACCTTTTCAGAGTTGCCCTCTTAAAAAGAGAAGAAATGACAGTGCAGTGATAGGCAGCTATAGTAGAGCAGCCAGTCCTCTCCTTCTCCTTGTGGCTCCAGAGATGGGCTCACATAATGGGTTTGCTTCACCTATGAAATGCTGAGATGAAGCAATGCCACAAAGATCTCTCACCCATGTAAATCAGGGCTACATCCATGGAGGTGAATGGAGTGTTAGAGAGAGTATAATTCAGCCCATTAGGTTTGAAACACAAGTCTGGGTTTACGGATCGAGAGTACTAGAAGTTGGGTCTGCAGGGATTTGAATAACTATTGTTTCCATGTTGCCCCTCCTCCCCAGCAGATATGGCAGAGCTTCAATTCAAGCATTATAAACCACAGGAAGAGCTCCACTCAGAAGACCTGCTTATTATTACGCCTCATTAGCTCTGGTTGGTCCAGCCACTTCGTTTCAGCATGCAGAGAGGTCCAGGAACCCGGTAGTACTTTCTCTCTTGTACAAGACCTGGCTCTCCTCATTTTGTGGCTTGACTCCTGACTCACTCTAGGCTTTATTCCTGGTCCTTGACTCTAGTGCTGATCTCCGGTTAGAGACCCTGACTTTGTCTTTGACCTTAAGCCTGACTCCTGGTTTCTGACTCCAACTCAGGCTCCTGCTGCAACCACTAAGAGTGTTGCACTAACTACTACTAGATCTAACTCCTGGTCCTACCTGCTAAATCAGACCATCTAGTCAATAAGACTAGTACATTAATAATCATGACACCAAAATAGCGAAATTTTAATGGGTCAATCTTCCACAAATGTCTTCTGGGCCAAAAAATTAATATTTGTATTGCCTTCCCAACAGTACATCTATTCTTAAAACATAAATTTAGAACTTTGGGTTTCTCAAATGCATTCTGTTCAGTGAATTTTTGGTTTATGTTTAAATTAGCTGTTGTGGAACTGTTTTTGGTTTATGTTTAAATTAGTTTGCAAATGAAATGCATTGAAAGGAAGTAGAATTTTTCATTCTGATTCATCATTGGAAAAGAGGAGAGGAAAAAAAGGATGACTTTGTGGCCAATGCACATTTATCACCAACTTTATTCCCTACTCCTACTTAAAATCCTCTTTTGAGGATAGTGTATTAATCTTCTGCATTATAGTGAATGTCACTCAGAGCTTGTTTTATTTGTTAAATGTTTGCAATACACTTTGTAAGATCCTTGTGACATGTTGGTGTAGAGTAGAGATGTAAGGGTATGTCTACACTACACTACAAAGTTAATTCGAACTAACGGACGTTAGTTCAAATTAACTTCGATAGGCGCTACACTAGCGCTCTGCTAGTTCGAACTTAATTCGAACTAGCGGAGCGCTTAGTTCAAACTAGGTAAACCTCATTCTACGAGGACTAAGCCTAGTTCGAACTTACTAGTTCGAATTAAGGGGTGTGTAGCCCCTTAATTCAAACTAGTGGGAGGCTAGCCCTCCCCAGCTTTCCCTGGTGGCCACTCTGGCCAACACCAGGGAAACTCTATTGCCCCCCT